AGACAAGAAGAGGAACCTGAAATCTTAAGGATCTTCTTTTGCGACTGACCAGCACTTTGAAGAAGTAGGTTGAAGCCTCTCTCTAGGGGCAGCAACCTTTGGAGACTTGTTCGAAATAGCGAAGGCTAAGATACTGCGATAGCTGCACACATTGATTTGATTAGCGGGTGGAAGTCATTAGGACCGCCAGTTGTATAACAATGAGTCCGGTTGTTAGTTGTTGCCCGGCAAACGCTTCAACCAAACCAACCAAAGGCACATACCATTAGAGAAGAGAATGAAATCGTAACACAAAAATATATGGAAAAAGTCCACAATCATGCGAACACTTTGACTAACACTGTAGGTTTCCAAAACCGATAAAACACACCTGAAGAGCAGGAATTTCCTACCCTTGTAAGGGGTAACACTGAGCCGGCAGCCCAAGTTAATCGACTAAAGAAGCAATACAAAATTCTACTTATCACTCAGCTTTCCCGTCCTACCTTAAGATGCAGAAGCCTATACGACTTTGACATTCGATCCTGTGAGTTTTCGAGAGAAAAGTTTTGCGAACGTTTTACGGCTAGGGACGAATCGAGGAAAGCATTCCAGCTTCGAAAATATTCTGGTGGAAGCAGAGGAAGGAGAAGACCTCCACTCTGTTGGAAGGATCAGGAGCACTGCTACTTGGTCTCATTTGGTATTTCCAACACGTAAGCGGTGATAAAGATTTAGCGTCAGGTCTAAAGCCACTCCGATAAGCTGCAATCAGTTTTTTAGTGGTCTAATCTATCACAAAATACGCTCGATAGCACCTTATATTTAAGCGGCTCATCCCACGGTAATTGGCGCAGACCGTCTATCATAAGGTGATCGATGTAACTGTGAGTTTTTCGATCTGGAGACAGCCAGATTTCACTTCTAGGAAGAGAACCTTCGACACGTTATTGCTGATTCCAACTGCAGCAAAACTTGGTTGAAAATCAGGCCTTTTGCGAGGAATTTTTTCGAACATTTTTAGAACATAACTGTAAATTATTATTAGTATTATTTCTTCTTGAAATCCACATGTATATAAATACAGATAAAAATATTAATATAAATTAAATATCTCCTCGTCAAGGCGCATCACTAACGGTAATTATTTATTATTATTATTTTTTTTATTTAAGGTAATGCTTATTAATTAAATACTTTTCGTATACAAAAGAAATACAATAATAATATTCGCTACCATTCAATGGAAACGGGATCTGCCATAAAAACTTAAATGCTTAAATATATATATGTATATGTATGTATGTATATATGTAGAAAAAGTAATTGAAAGGCTTAGAGGACAAGCTACAAAACCTCTTTAAAAGCTGTCAATGACGAAATTTGTAGTACATAAGTTTCTACACGCGTATGTACTTATATATATATACAGTGACTTATAAAAGCGTTCGTAAAAAGCATTGTTTCAGTAATATAATATTTTTCTTTTATTGTAAAAAAATACTTGTTCTATAAATGCGCAATCTGGATCCGGACTTTGTACAGGCTAATCTAAATAAGAAATGCCGTTAACTTGCAGCCATTTTATCTCCATGTTTATACCAAGATTTTTTGATGCTGGGAAGGTACGAATCTCTTAAAATAACTATATAATTTTCTGTCCTCATAACTCCATCGTTTCCCTTGGAAACATCCCCAGACCATTAAGGACACGCCACCAAACTTCAAGGCCTCTCGAATCATCTCGATCTTCTGAACATAAGCGATTGATTTTCGTTCCATCGGACCAAGTAATCAAACAGCTGGATCCCAATAAATATGATCTTTGGCGTATTTCAAACTTAGAAGATGCTTTCGTATCTTAGTTTTAGCTTTCATAACCGCTTCTGCTTACGATTACGTGCCTCGGACACCTTTCTGTGGGCTTGCCAGCGTTGTCTACAACTCCTGACCCAACTAATCTCTTGACCATTTACCTAGTGCTTGGGCTCAACTTGCTTCGACGTCCATCTTTTCGCTAAATTAGCGGAGTATCACAGTTCATTAAGATTTTGGAGATAAACTACATGGAAGCTTCACATTTCTTTGCAATTTGACGTACAGATTTTCCAACTCAGCACTGAGCACAGCTAAATATGTGGCCGTTTTTGATGGATGGTTTTGTAAGTCACTGTATATACATACATAGATCTGTATATATACCGGATAAAACAACGCATACATACATATATACATACATCAAAGCCTATGAATACTAGTACCCTAGTTAAAAAATATTTCGTAATAAAAAGCTGAAGGAGCAAAGAAAACAACAACTAATATTTTCAAATGTATGTACATACACACTCGTACATATGTATTTTGGTGCGAGAGTTTTTTTTTCACTTTTAAATTATCCAAGATGAAACCTGTTTTTCAATACCAAAGTCAATACGACAAAATAACGCAACTTGGTGAAAAATATAAATTTACAACTACAAAAATATCAACCTACAAACATACATATATACATATAAACAAACATATGTATATATATGCTTTACATACTTACCAATTGTGGTATTTAAACTTAGGAGTTATGAATAGTCAACAAAAATCAAGTTTATGTGTACGTACATATGTATGTATGTATGTATTTACATATTCACCTACATATGTATATATGTAAGTATATGTTGTAAACAAGGAGGCTCAAGCTGTTTTCAGTTTGCCTAAAGCTTGCCACACTTTGACATTAGAATCCCACGCAACGAAACAACAAACAAAATAAAAACATTTATAAGTCTATACATATTTATATACATATATACATATATAATATACATAAGCAACAATAACAAAAAGAAAAAAAGCAACAGTTGAAGCTCAACGGCATCGATGAAGGCTAATACCTGATAGACTAAATGACTAGGTTCATTACAACAAATACAACAACCACAATCCATCTTGGCAACATCGTGTTGAAGCCGAAAACCCCTACGCAAATAACGTTACACAATTGAAGTGAACAACATCTTAGCCATGAGCAGAAGACAGGTAGCCATGAGCTATGCAAAGTGATGCTTTTTTAAAGACTTTTGACTTTGATGATGACAGAGTTGTAGATTGAGAAGAGGGTTTGTAGGCTAATCTCTTGTTGTGTATTAATTTTACTATTTTTACTGTGGATGATTCGAATATTGTTGGATTTAGTATTGAAGTGGAATGTGTCGTAACACAATCGGAAACTGTTAGCAGGCAAGTCTCTCTTAACCTGGTCTTAACATAGCCTGGGTACCAGTACTCGTTAACATACCAAGTAATGAGATGGCGGGCGAGCTTTTTAGAGAGAACATTACCCTATCGCGGTAGATGAGTGGTTAGCATTTCGTACTGCCATTCGGTAGGCTCGGTTTCAAAGCAAAAAATTATAGTTTAAATAAAAAATTAAGTTACATTTTTTAATTGCGGTCGTGCCTCGGCAGGCAATATAAGGCCCTCCGACTGTGTTTCAGACTTGAAAGGCGGCTTAGCATAAACTCTAGGTATCTCCATTTGTTGGAAAATCCTTAATACGCAAAACAAATTGGATGAGGGGCTCGGCTGAAATCGCTTCAGCGGTTACAAAGCGCCAATTATATTATATATATGGACCAATGATTGGTCATAGAGCACCCGAACAGTGACTTCTTGTGGATGTAGTGACGCCTCAACAAAAACTTGTGAATTATCAACACGGTAAATGCGACAGTTTTTGTTTATTAACGCACCCACTCGACATCATCGCTGAAAAATATTTCATATGAAAATCGGGATCGTTGCCCATCTTCTTTCGAGCCCATTCACCGAACGTACGACGCATTTATTGGTTGTTCGGCTTCAATTCTTGCACGAGTTCGATTTCGTAAGCCCGCAAGCCAAAATCCTTCAGGATAGACGCCTCTGAGGATGCGCATTATCCACTGGAGTCAAAATGGTGCAAAACTCACCCACGGTTGCTTGATTTACCGACCCTACTGGACGATTATGTCGACCGAATACTGGACACAGCACGCGATGCTTCGCAGAAGCCGAGCAAAAAGTTGTTAAAGAGACCAACTTCGATAAAAAAAAGTTGCCTCATCGAAAAGCGCATGTCTGAAAAAAAAACACCCATTACATATTATATCCAAACTAAATCGGTCTGTTGGCCTTTTTGCATGCTGCACTTGTTGGCATTCCAAGGCGTACACAGAGATTTCCATGCCAAAATGTGCGCAGGTGAAAAACTTAGAAACCGTTAGTCAAAAGAAAAGCAAAATAAAGTGCAAAGTACAAAGCAAAGAGTAATGGCAAAAATGTGTGACAAACCAAACACTCGTACATACATACATAGATAAGTACCAAAACCACCAGCGAAACTAAGCCAAAACAATTTAAAAGCAAATTAAGCTGGCAACGACATTTTAAGCGCAATAAAGGCGCTTAATGGACTAAGAAATATAAAAAGAAAACAAAAATGTCCAGCCTAAAAGGAAAAATTAAGCAAACACAATACAATGTGCCTGCCAAGACGACGTGTTTTGATGGTTTTGACTCTATGGCCAAACCCTCTTGTCGTGGGAAAGCCTCTACTGGTGGATACCACTTATTTAGGCACGAATGTACATATGTATGTATATGTGTGTGCTTATAGGTGTGTGTGTGTGTGTGTGTGTGTGTGGATAAAGAAAAATACATAACTCTACCGCCACGCTCGGCATACACCTGAGACAGAGCTTGCGTGCCAACCAGCAGATCATTTGCACACAAAATGCATGGCTTCATTGTTTATATTTGGTATCTAAGCTACATTCCAAAGGAATTTCTACACTTGCCAACCGCAAGCTATAATTTTAACGCTCGACAGTGTTAGGTGTCCCTTCCTCACATGAAGGGTGCGAAAATTTTTAATTTTCAAAAATACATAATTTACTAGCAATATATGTAGACAAATATCTAGGTGTGTAGATGTGTGTGTATGCGTGTGTGTGAGTGCATAAGTTGAGATTTCCAAACCTCACCTCAATTTCGTAGTTCGCACAACTGCATACTTGCTCCGCTCGCGAGCTCAACATCGAGTATCATTTCGCCCATGCGCTGTATTCGCACCACACCCATCCGCCACGGCAAACAGCACCGATCCTCACACCAACATGCCTTTACATAACTACATACATATATACACATGAATATGCTATGAATTCGTAAATATTTGTAGTACATACATATATGTATACGCTCCAAGCCCGCACAGCGTACCACTTCGCCTCACAAAGCTGATTACGTTTTTACACCCCAGTCTTCCTGCGATCGTTTTTATTTCTCATACCACTTATATTTTTACATACATACTCGTATATACAAACTTAATTACATATATAATTCAAAGTGCACATCTAAAAAATTAAAAAATATATATACATATATAATCTATATGCTTTGTTACCCGCCACGTTTTACCTCCTTCTTTGCATCCAACACCCCAAGCACCCTTATTGTTGGCTGGTAACTGTTAGCAGTGCTGCCATTGCCTGCAGCAAAGCTGGCATCTAGATTTGGAAAATCAGTGAGTTGTGAATATAAGAAACGTGTGGGTTGCTCTCGCCGATCTGCAAATGGTTGGTGCTCTTTTCAATTGTTGTTTCTTCTAAATATGTATGCACTTGTTACGCTTCAGTGATTGAAGAGCCAGTAAAGCCCCTTACTTACTCTTGGTTCCAATATAAGTATGTATGTGTAAATACATATATTAATTTTATAGTATTTATATATACATGTGTATGTATGTATATACTTGCGTTTTCATTATCGCTTTAGCAGTGAGACCCTTACCAACAGGCTATCAATTAACACTAAGCAACCCCGATGCGAATAGCCTGCCTACATAGTGTAACAGTAAGGCAACGTTGCCAATTTTCTTTGCATATTCAATAGAGAGAATTTCTGATTTCTTAGTTTAAGCCAATAACAAATTATCTGCAATCGAAGCGCAATCTTTTCTCAATAAATCTCGATTACATCACTTCCTTGGCTTTTTTGACGATCTGTTGGCACGATAAGGTAGTGTCTCCTTACAATTTCTTTTTTAATTTTTGCATATCGAAGCTCCCTCCTTCGCATTGATCTGCTCGATCTTGGTGTCTGGCTAGCATATTGATAACTTATAATCGAAAGTTAACTGTTATCTCGCCGTCCTTTCCCATTTCTTCACTGAACGACTTCTACCGCTGGACAAAGGAGTACCAGAAAGTTGATGGCATCAAAAGATTCTGGCAACTTATAACCCAGCACTGCTATCCACTCGGCTATAGCGGCTGTTTCAACCCAATAATCTCCTAATGATCCAATATTTTTCATTTATCAGTCAATTCTTTTTAACAGTTTCTACAATAATTATTTTTGGATAATTGCACAGCATTAGTTCTTCAGTTAATGAGTCTCACACATCAATGCTTCCCTAATGATCCTGTAAGAGGCTATGCGATAATTATTAATGAGTTTTGATCTCAGGCAACGCCCACTGATTGTGTTTGTGAGAGATAATAAATACATACAAATATAATATTGACTGAAGCAGCACCTTATGCTGAAGATCAATTGCCCAAAGGGCGTTGTTCATTGAAAATAAGTATTTCCAAAATTGATTCCAAATGTAAAGAAGAAAAATCTCGTCCTATTAAAGGGCAATGGATAATACTAAAATAATAAAAAAATAAATAACTAACGCGTAAACATTTTTCCAACAAATAAAGCGGCCCTCAATTTCTTCCAACAAGAACGCATAACTCTTAGGCTTGATTACCACCTTACGTCTCACCTTGGTTGGTTGGTTAGTTAAAAGGGGAGGTGAGAGGAACTTTCACCTATGCCATAGAGTAGGCTCTTTGTGCTCGATCGCATAACCTAACTGTACTTTGGTGAACATTTCACTCCATTTAATAAACTTATTTCACATCTTCCGTGTGTCCACCTCCGTAAGATTGGAACTGGTGGCACTGAGGTCTCAATCGGCTGAAGTCTGGAGACTCGCCAAGTTAGTTCTCCAGCATTTCGTCATCTTCTGTGCATACTTCGCATTCAGCCGATTCCATTTTACCTAGCTTGAGGAGATGACACATCAGCGGTAGATACTCAATAGAATTTTTCGCTCTCGTTAGCTTAGAGATAGTAATAGTTTGGTTTATCTATAATCCACCTCACAATAATATGTCTTACGATGGGTGTGTTCTCCATAGTCTACTCCTTTCGACAACATTTGAGGGCGCTGACGCTGGCAGTTGATGGTGACTACATCGGCGCGAGCCATTTCATTGCTCATCCATGTGATCCATTACCCAAGTGATGTTCTGTTAATTGCCTTTTTGCACGTTCTTACGCATTAGGAGTTTGTGTTGACAAACTTAATTTCCTAGCTCGTAGCTCACGCTAAACTGTCTACCAAAAACCTGATAGATCGACCTGTCAAAGCGGTTGCCCATTAGACAGCTTGTGTAGTGCCCACAACGTAATGCTTAGAAGGCAGAGTTGTATTCAATGAATTTGAAGACAAGAGAAGAACCCAACTCCTGTTAGTGTCTCAATACGGATATGAATATCTTGACTGTTTTCGATGGGTTCGCATTCCATCCATACTTCGCTGCTAGTGAGGAAGTAAAAAGCATTCAGCAGAATGTTTGCGTTTCTCGCTCTCATTTTACGTTTAGCTCGAGTTCTGATAATAATTTCTGAATACTGCCATTTCCTGCAAAATTGTGGCACTAAATCTTTTTTTCTGGAACATTTAAGCGGGCAGATGTTAGCACTGCTTCATACACAGCGTGTGTATTAATTGGCTTAACGAAAAAATATGACGTCTAGAGCCTTTGTTGAAGTAGTCCTCATCGCGCCTGCTGAACTAGGCAAATAGGTACGTGACACTCGTGTTTAATACTGCACTTCTCCTCTAATTTGGCTCTCTGCGCTAGTGCTTCATATGCTGGTATGGGTCTAACGACGCTTGTGTAAAGCCAATGAAACATGTGAGGTTATAGGCTCCACTTTAATGATATATGTAGCTCTTCGGCAGCTATTCACGATCCGGACCGCTCCATTGACCCTGTTTTCAACGAGTTCCCTCTAGCTAAGTTTTTTTATATAGGATTGCACCGAGTGACTTAACAGAGTTAAAATTATGAATTTTCGTCTTTCTCGTATAGAGACAAATCTCTGCTATTTCCTGGATTACTGAGAGACCGTCTCGTACGTCTTGCCTTACTACCGAACTAGTCGATCATATTGTTCAGTTCCGCTCAACGAAATTCCTTCCTTATCTTATAACCACGTTAATGCTAGCTGTGTGCCCTTACAGAAAACATGGAACTACTTGGACACTGTGTCCTCCAAGGGGTAGCCACCGAAAACACTGGGTTGTCGCAATTCCAAAGAAGAATTGCAAGCAGAAGAGATCAACGATTCGACGCTTTTGCTGAACTTTTAACCAGACATATATGTACACACATTCACACATGCTCTTGAACAAACATATATACATACATACACATCCATAAATATATATGTATGCTTTTGCCACAAGTATTTATGCAACCATTGCAAAAGTTAATCTTAAACAGAAAATTTTTTCATCGGCGAAAACGCTGAGATAGCTGAAGCCAAACGAGGACACGCTGAGGCGACGGCAGCTCAGTCAACTTCTGACACAACATTAACAATAACAACACCAACAACAACGAGGAGTAACGATCGCAACAGTATGATTGCTTTATTTTCATATTTCGCAATGCACCCCAATCCTACCGACCGAACTCGCTCTGCCGCCACCCGAAATGAGTACGACGGTCGCTCAAGTGCTTGTTGCATTGCATACACTTTTTTAGCCTTGTTCGTAGTGAGGCAAAAAGTCGAACTGAGCTGAGTGTAGATCGCTGAGACAGCAGATTTGATTTCATGCCATTGCAGCAACGGCGGAGTTGAAGCGAGCGCCAAACGGTCGTGTTGGTGGTGGTAGTGGTTGCGTTGTCTCACTAAGTGAAAATGGAAGTGAATATTTGTGAATTTGTTTCTTTTTTCAGCTCTGCTTCAGCTGCTGATTTCGTTGTCAGCAGCGATGCCGAAAGAAAATAAATTATGAATTACAACGAAGTACTTACGAAATCTTTAAAGAACTCTTTCCACATGGAGATAAAAATAATTATGGATTGCATTCAGGATTTATATTCTTGTAAAATGCCATGATAAATTTATAAAAAAAAATATTCTATCTGTCTTTGCCATGAAAAGGGTGGCAAACAATTTTTGAGAACAATTCCCGAAGTCAAGACAATAATCAGCTGAGCTCCGCAGCATTTATTCCCCGGCAGAGAGCGTCGAATACCAGATGGGCGGAACACGGGTGTGCGAATTTCATTATTTAGCTGAGTCAGAACGAAGTTTTATTGCACAGTGGTGCTATGTTCGTTCAATTATAATATATTTTCGAACAGAAAAGACAATAATTCCAAAATCATCAAAAGCATTCGCTGACGCGAATATTGAAGAGTCGAGTGATATTTCCATTAATTTCACAGTTTGGAAAGTCTGCTGCATGTGGGATAGCTTTCGTAGCTTTTGTAATTTTTGGTAGCACATCAAATTCACCATACCCATCCCGTTTGTTTGAGTTCTGTTGCTCGAATATGAAAATTAATTAAATATTTTCATTGGAGTCAAGCGGGGAAAGTGGAATGTTAAAATTCCCTCCTTAGCGCCCATTTTAAAACCGTACTCCTGCTAAACATAACTTTTATTGAGTTTCAATTATACCCAGTGGTTTCTGAGATATACATACGATTTGACCTAAGGTAAGTGAGGCCGCTTGACAACCCGATTATTTTCCACTCTCATACTCTTCTATTTCATGTAACAGTCTCTCACAAAAAATAAGATGGCGGTGCTTCAAAATAAGTATATGAGATTGACAGGTGTTGGATCGTGGATTTACGCGTAGGATCCTGAAAATAAATAGCAGCGACTGTATGGGTATTTAAAAAATTATGAGAACCAACTGCTGAAATCGTACCACTCACTCACCACCACAACAATGAAAGCTCCCACCCAGTGACTGAAAAACTTGCATTTTTGAGCACTTAAACCAACTTTTGATGGGTCATCCACCGTAAGGTCCTAAATTGGCATCGAATGACTAGTTTTTTGGCCCGTAGATAAACAACAAGCGGATAGGTCAACGTTTTCCACACCGGAAGAGGTGATTGATCCGGATGATGCGTTCAGAACCCATGTTTTGAAGTCACATTGTTAAAATTGGTTTAAGAATTGGTTCAAATGCATTAAAAAGTGTATAGATTTTAATAGAAGATTTTTTTTGAAAATCAACAAAGCTGTTTTGGATTACT